AACGAAAATTTGAAAAACAAAACCGAAAACGAAAAAGCCAGACCTGAAACAACTGACGCGCGCCAGACCCGGAACGACTGACGCACGTCAGACAACAGGCGGCCACAAAAGAAATGACAGATGCGCGGCCCCAAACGACGGGCCGACGGGAAAAACAAAACAAAAAAGAAAAAAATTGAAAAACGAAACCTAAAACGAAAAAGTCGGACCCGAAACGACAGCCGCGCGGCCCGAAACGACGGGCAGCCGGGAAAAGCAAAAGCAAAAAGACGGCGAAAACGAAAAAGAAAAAAATTGAAAAGTGAAACCCAGAACGAAAAAGAAAAATATTTCAAACCCGCGTATCCGATGGCAGCAGCTTCGAGATATTCCCTCACATCTACATCGGCAGCCGCCTGGCCCCGTAGGCGCGACCTCTCGTTTCATGGTGCGCTGTGAACATTTCGGTACGCGCGCCCCTCTGCACAATCCCCCGCCCTGGATTGCGTTCATCCACCGGCCCTCGTCAAAACTTCAACCCCGAATCCGGCGCGCAGCGGACCACCAACCTCCCCCCACGGACAATACTCCTTAAGGGATAGGATTCCAGCACACCTCCACACCTACCCAGTGTTCCATGCTTTAAAGCTGTTGCCTTGCGTCACAAGTCAACAGTTTCCATCATGGCGATCCATGATCCCTCCAGATATGGATGGCAGATACAACATTGATGGTATAGTAGGTGAGGACGTCTTCAGGACAGGAGGTAGAGGTCGTCCACAGAAACAGTACAAAGTCAGGTTTTCCTTCCAAGAGCCAGAAGACGACCGCTGGTTCACGCGATCAGAACTTCTAGAGACAGCTCCCGACATAGTCACATAGTCAGAGCTTACGAAAGAGACAAGAAAGGTAAAGGTCCTACCTTAGACTGAAGTATTCTTGGAGGACCTCGAATTTAGGCCAGGGGGAGTGAAACGGTTTTCACCTTTCGCAGTCACAGATGCGGGCCCTAGAGTTCGATCCCCAGACCTCACCTTACCCGTGTACAGTATCGAGTTGACCCGCAAGTGTTTGAACCTGTGACCTGTGTTTCGGTAGTTGGGTGAATGTCTGTCGTAGGTCTTTATAGACGTAGGGGCTCGATCTGGAGGTCTGTCAAGTAGGGAACACAGCTTTGTAGAGGTCCTAGCTGTAGGTGTTCTGAGAGGTCGAGGTCGTAGCTGCTACAGTCCTGAAAGGTCAAGGTCGTAGCTGCTACAGTATTCGAAAGGCCAGGTCCACAGACTTCCGGAAGGTCCGGAAGTGGCCTTTCGAAAGTGTCTCACCTTCAGCCAGAGGCAAGTGGGCGAGTGGTAAGCCCAACTGCGTTGAGTCGGCAGTGCGACTGCATCGAGTCGGCAGTGCAACCCCATACAGTCAGCGGTACCGGTCCCAGTCAGTCGTACCGTGTGGGACTGTGTGCACCAAGGGCCTGGTGGAAAGGGGCAGACAAGCGGCAAACGGAAGTATAAGTCAAGAGCAGCGCCCAGCAATTCGGGGATTCGCTGCGTAAGCCATGCGGGAGCGCTGCTTCAGCGTCTTGTGCGAGGTGGTGTGCAGGTTTCCCGAAGTCGAAGTGGGCTGAGAGAAGAAAGTGTAGCCATAGCTAGTAGCTGTGGCGCGGCCATGCCGCTGTAGTGTTAGATGTTAGTGAGGGTGTACGAGTAAGTGCCAGAGTGAGTGTGAGTGGGAGTATTCAGGGTGATCCAGAGTTGAGTACGGGCGAACAGTGGTGTCGAACACAGTGGCGAGAGTTGTTCTGTGTAGGCGCTAATGCGCCATAGCTTGTGGAAGGGAGTTTACATCTGAACTGTGTTCTCGATTGCCATATCTCTGAGCTTTGAGTGGGCGCTGTGCGCCAGAGTGAATCACCATCTGTTTGCATGTATGCGAAGTGGAAAAGAAAGAG